GGACACTAACTCTCGTGGGAAATCTGATGGTTTGGGGCATAGAAGTAGGGATAAAGACTCATATAATTGGGCTGGTTCTGATAGTAGGCATGCAAATATTGAGAAAAAGGACAAAGGTGATAGGAGTGACCGATATGGAAGGATGGATTATAGAAAGAGTTCAATGGATTACAAAGGTGATCGTTCGCCTGCTTATGAAGAGTCAAGGGATCAAATAAATGATTATTCTTCACGAAGAGAAAATACTGGACGTCGTTTAAAGGAATCCTCTTCAAGATACTCCAAGGAAGTCGATGCAGATGATGAAAAGAGTAGGCGCCTGGATGCAGGTCCTGATAAGGTGCAATTTAATAGAGATACAAAGGAGGATTTGGATGGTATGTCCAACAAGGGTGAAGAAGCTGTCGCTAAGTAGGTGAAGACTTTTAGCATGGAGAGCACTGCTGCTGGCCCAGATGGTATGTTTCCATTTTCTCCTGTAGTGATGTGCTTTCTGTTCTGTTTTTCGTGTTTTGATATCATTTTTGGAGAATTGTCCAACAGTTCCTTCCGAGAAGGCTTATGTGACGGATTCTGATATTGATGCTGCGAAAATTGCTGCTATGAAAGCTGCTGAATTAGGTAGGTAAATGTATCTCTCGTGTTTTTTTTTTTTTTTTTTTTNCTTTCAAGGTTGATGAGTAGTGTTTATTGTGTAGTTGTGACTTATACCGCTGAAGTTGAAGTGCAGCGAGAATTCTTTAACATGATTTTGCATGAGATGGTTTGTATGTGGTGATGAACTCATTAGTTATTTCTTGTGGACTAATTTACTTCTTCAACTTCGATGCAATGTTTGAACGAACACACAGTTAACAAGAACTTGATTGGAACTGCATACATGACCGCTGATGAAAAGAAGAAGCTCTTGTGGGGCAACAAGAAGAACACTGCTACTGAGGAGGTATCCTTAAATCATTGTTATAACCTATAAGATCCATTTTATCCACAAGCACTTTTTTTCTCCTGAACATAACAAGTAGATATGAGACACACCCACACGCACACACACAAACAAACAAATAAACGGGTTCTGATTATCGATTACAAGTGTGCCCGACCTGACTTCATACCAACTATATTCCGCGTAGATTATCATTTTTATTTGAGACGCTTAGCGTGATTTATGTTCTCCTTTCTGTTTTCCTTCAAGCCTGCTCACCGTTGGGACACAACAACATTTGGCGACTGTGAACGACAAGAAAAATTCAACAAACTCATGGTAATCTTCCTTATCCGTTGCTCTACTTCCATCTAAACCACATATAGGCTGTGTTTAGTAAGCATATAAGCTAACTTATAACTTATTTGATTAGCTTACAAGTTTAATTTATTTTGTCCATTTCAAATGGAGCTGGAAGAGTCATTGTTGACAATTCTCCTGGCATAATGCTAATAATGGACTATATCAAAATGGCTCAATTAAATTCTAGTGCTTCTTCTATTAGTGAAGTTTCTAGAAAAAAAAAAAATATATCAAACGGCGCAATGCACCTTGGGTCGCTACGGAAACAGCCTCCTTGTATAATTACAAGGGTAAGGTATGCGTACAACTGACCCCCCAGACCCCAACCTGTTGGGAATATACTGGGTATGTTGTTGTTGTTGTATAAGTTTAATTTATTCCAATAAGTTTGATTTGATAGGACGAGCTTATCTCACAAGGTTCCTTGGGGTTTTTTTATGGTAAAAAATGTATCCATTTCAGTTATTTCTCAAAAAGAAAACAGTCAATTGAAATTTTTATTTCAGTTTGCTTATCAACTAATTTTACCAATCACTTTTATCATATAAGCTAACTTTTCAGCCATAAGTCATAAGCTATCAGCTACAAGCATGAAATTCAGTTAAAAGCTATAAGCTAGTTTATCAGCTAGGTTTACCAAACATACCCATAATCCACGAAACTATATGCATTAAGCTCCTCGTAACTTTACGTTTATCCCACCACACATACTAACATTGTTTTAGAGTCTGAGGCTGGGTTGGGTGCCTATGGCGAATTGTAGGGCGTGAAGGGGGACTCGAAGGTGGAGTCCAAGCTGGACGAGCCGGATGTCGAGAAGAAACGGGAGCAGCTTCAGGTGGACTTAGAGAGACAGTACACGGCCTGTTTGCGCCGGCAAGATGGCCGCACAGTTGGCCTCGGTCTTTTAGATTACTTTGTTCGATATTTTCGTGTTTGTGTTGCTGTTATTGTACTTTGGATGTTTGTGTGTTAGGAAAACTATCTTGTGTTAGACTTGTTATTTGATCATGACTTGCAACGTAGCTGGATGTTTGACTTAAAGTGGGATTATCAAGTTTGTGGTGTGTATTGAAAAAGTGAAATTTTACGCGTTTTGCTTGATTATGGCATGCGTGAATACTTTCAACTGAATTTAGTATGAGATTAATTCAACAAAGGGATATATTGTTCAAAAAGAACATGCATAACTGAGGAGTTGAGGTTGAGACATAACAAAATGAAACTATGAAAAATATAGATGCAACCGGCGGGTTCGGGCTCAGAACCGGTCCCGGACCGCCCCTTTGTCCGGTTCGGTACCGGGCCTCGGCCAGGGCGGGCCGGGCTGGGCCTGGACTCGTTGACTGGCCACCTCTAGATTAAACCAATCCTGCCAAATGTAAAGTCTAATTTACCCTCATTTATATCTTTTTCGGACCATTTTGGCCCTCCCTAATACACAAATTACTACCTTGCCAATATATAATCAAAATTTCGATCTTCCATCTTCATATCGCAGCACGGCATTTAACGAACCCTAGCCCCAAGAACAGAAATCTCGATTCCAGCTTCATTTTTGTCGTCAAGGATCGATCTGGGGGGTACATAGGTGACATCTCCGGCGCAACTTCGGAACCGTACCCATCTCTGACCTTGAGAACGGTACTTTTTCCGTTCTGTTGATATGGCTCATATATTGACAAAAGAAGGGGGCAGGCTGATGCCTGCGAGTGGAGCGAGCTTATCGAGGGAGCGGAGTGTCCGAGTAGAGCGAGGGAAACGGAGCGACCGAGCGGAGCGAGTGGAACAAGCAGGGTTATGATACCTTGTAGGCTTATGATATAAATACATTGTGTATTGATGTATTTGGGATTATCGTGAATAATAAGATCACTGCTCTGCCGTGGACGTAGGCACATTGCCGAACCACGTAAATCTTGTGTTATTTACTTTCTCGTCTTTAATTCGTATTGTCCTCGTTTAACAACACGTTCCATTTTTGTTTTCACTCTCTTGTTATGAAATATAAACTCTCCTCTTTGACGCGCATTCTATTGACTTTTTCCATGAACAATGATTATCAAAAGTTTGTTTCTTATTCAAATAATTGAATTAGTTCATATCTATCATTATATAAAAAGAATAACCTTTTCAAACATTTAGAAACTTTTTCCTGTCAAAATCATTAAATATATCCTACATATAGTAATTGTTGGACAAATTTGAATAGACAAAAAAATCGGCTCATTAATTGTGTAAAGATTTGTTTCTCTTTTTTACTGGCTTTTGTTTATCAAAACCGTTGTTTGACAATAAATATTTATTTTTCTTTTCCTAATTTTAGTATAAATCTACACGAGCTTATCTCTTCTGTTACAAATTCTCATTGCATACGTGGGTTTAAAAAATCTCATCCATTATCTATACAGATTTGAAAAATTAAAATAAAATATAAACCAATTCATAATTACTACTAGAAATCCATTATCTTTAAAAAATAAATAAATAAAATAGAAACCAATTCATAATTACTACTAGAAATCCATTATCTACTTTAGAAGCTAATTTTCATCGGTCTAATTACTAATATTTTTACAAATATTATAAGCTAACCATACAAAAAAGTATAATAATAATTTTGAAATGGTGTGTAATCAATTTTTTTTATATTCTCTTATACAAAATAATTTTACATTGTTTGACCTCAAATCTTTAATTTATAATTATTAAGTATTGTTTATCCTCCTTTTTAATATATAATTATTTTTTTTTTCTCTTTTTAAATAGGATCAATAGTAATTTCCACTTCCGGCATTGAGTGACTCAAACTCGAGGTCAATTTATAATATTGTTAATTTAATATTGTTCCCGTGCATCGCACGGGGTATACACTAGTTTTAACCATAAATAGATCTGCAAATGTTGGGTATTTGTATTCATATTTGAATTAATAATTATTTAAATTTTGTTATGTTTCCGATTTGATATATCATTTATGGACATTTTAATGTAATTTGTTATGAATCTTTTTCTAAGAATGTTGTCCACCAAAAAAGTAAAATTTCAAGATTTATAGAAACATGTATTATTGGTTTCCAGCTTCATGTACATTGCATATTGATCTTAAATAATTTGATACATTGATCTGTGTTATTACCACAAATACCTGAACCGCTCGACCGCCCCTCTCGAACTGGATTGCGCTTCCTCGATCGTCGGTACCTGCAAAACACGCCGGGGTGGTCCCGGCGTGGACACTCCGACGCTCAAGTCAGTGGTGGTCTTTCGGAGAGAAAGCGGCAGAGTAACGAGATAATATGTGTATGTGTGTTGTGTAAAATGAATAAACCTGTGCCCTTTTATAGGTGAAGTTGAAGACTCCTCATGACACAAGAAGTTTTTCCCATGTGTATCTCTCAATCAGGTCAAGATATCCCCGAATCTTGAGAGTCCTTGAGGTTGTGAACCTCTTCATGACTTGAGCACACGACTACCTCCGGGCTCTAGTCTCCTCGACAAGGCCCTCTGGCCGAGGCGCCTAGCTACCGAGGTGCCAGTTACCTGGCCGACTACCTCCACCTAGCTCATCACTCTTAGTACTCCGCCTAGCTCACATTGAGGTAGGCTCCGCCTAGCACCCCTCTACTCCAGAGGTACCACAAACCCTGCCTAGCTGGCTGGACTAAAACCCGGATCACAACCGATCCTTCATGAACCGCTACTTACGACCATATCATCTAGCCCCCCAATTCCTTAGACAAGTTATCGGAGCTTGTCATAAGGAATGAAGAAATTGCACACACCATAGTAAGTACTTGAACTTAGGTTCAGAAAATTATCAACCGTCCACATCAACTGCGCCTTTCTCACCCGCCGCGCATGACGACCATGCCATGATGACGAGGTGACGACCACAGCGGGGTGACGACCTCCCACGACGACCCGCGAGTGACGACCTCCAACACGTGCCGAACACCCCACGAGGTCGACCACCGCGATGACGCCCGCTGAGGTGCGCCGACTTACCACGCGACGGCCACATCGAGGTGACGAACTCCCACACGACGACCCACGATGCCGACCACCACACGACGCCGACCTCCAGCGCCTTGCCGTTCTCCACGCGTGTGCCGAGCTGCCCGGAACGACGAGTCGCCACACGCCGAGCACTTACACCGGCCGTCACACGCCGAGCTCCAATATGCCGAGCTGCTATATGCCGAACTCACAAGCCTTGCCGACCTCCACACGACGCCGACCTCCAGCGCCCTGCCGTCCTCCACGCGCATACCGATCTGCCCGGAACGACGAGCCGCCATACGCCGAGCACCTAAATTGAGTGCCGTTATCAGATATGAGCACTCGGGGGATACCATATCGGCAGCAGATATTATTGAAAAGAAATTTTATCACCCGCTCTTCTGTGATCGTTGCTAATGGCTCGGCCTCGATCCACTTGGAGAAGTAATCGACAGCCACAATCAAGAACTTCCGCTGGCCCGTCGCCTGCGGTAAGGGTCCAACTATGTCGATTCCCCACTGTGTAAAAGGCAAGGGCGAGCTGATTGGAACCATGCCTTGCGCCGACCGATGGATCAATGGACATTGCTGTTGACACTTCTTACATTTTCGCACAAGATCTTGTGCCATCGTTCTCATCGTAGGCCAAAAATATCCAGCCCGCAATACCTTCCCAACCAACGCCCTAGCCTTTATGTGGTCGCCGCAGCACCCTTCGTGCACCTCCCTAAGTACGTACTCCCCATCTTGTTCAGAGACGCACCTAAGATGAGGCCCCATATATGACCGTTTGTATAGGATCCCATTCTGCAAGTAGAACCTCAACGCTCGTCGTCCGACTGGGTCATCCCTGATATCCTTTCCCGCGACAGGCTCTTGCAACCAATGTATTAAAGGCGACCTCCAATCCTTTTGCTCCTCAACCTCCAGCACCTGGTCTAAGGAACTTTTAGTCATATCCATCAGCGTGACCGAGCGAGATCGGCAATCAACAAGTGAAGCTGCCATGTGAGGACTCCGACAAAATTGTCGGCTCCCCCACCAAACTCGTAGTGGCTCCCGCAAGGAAAAGACCACGCTGAAGTGGATAAACCGAGGGCTTGCCAGGAGGACATGTCACCTGACCGAGAAACTGGCCAAGATGTCGACTCACGGTTAGGGGAAGCAACCCCCACTGGGGAGGTGGCACACGGACTAGGGATTTACTGTTCTGATTTGGGACTACTGTTTTTTCTTTCAAAGAGAGAAACAA